CATATCTTCAAGTTGCCAGAGTTGAGGAACCCTGTTCTAAGGTACAAAATAAATGATGGAGCTGGTTAGCTTGACACTCGGAAGCACCACCTGTGAGGAATACCCCGTTCGTCAAGAGAAACTCTCGTGACACGTGTTCAACAAAGAGGTTTACTCAAGCATAACGCAACAGTTACAAACAAGGCCAGGACTGGCTTGGCACATTTCGTGGTACAATTTATAGCTCTCCCCTTCCTGCGTTTTGCCCCATCGTCAAGTTGCATGTTGCGGCTTGTCGGTACCCCAATAATCCCCCTTAATGGTCCAAATGGCAGGTTCAGCCACTTTCCCATTGTCCCTTGATTACTTTGCCCATCCGGCGTGGTCTTGTTTCCTCGGGGCCCTTTCAGTTGCACACAAAGCCGGGGTTTTCTTGTTTGCGCGGTGATCGTCTTTCCGCAGCCCGCGGTTTTGCCCTTTGTCTCGGCGCATGCCGCTCATCAGAATGGATACAAAACCTCCACTCTGCGGTTTCCTTGTTAAGTGGGTGCAGGTGGCCCATTAATCAGCCGCGGCTCTCACTTCCTCTTTTTCCCCGGCTTGCAAGCGGGCGGTAAACTTGGCTCAGAGTGGCTGCCCGGGTTTCCTAGCAGTGCCGTGCCGGCTGAACCTGACACCACCCACCTATGGATGTTTGTGTTCATGGATCCGGGAATTTTTTGTTTTTAAACAAACAGGTTCTATGGCCTTAATAAGTTTGATCTAGTGGATACCAGAGTATTGAAGCCCAGGTCTCACAGCCTTAGTTTTTTGTCACAAAGTGGACAATTCGGGATCTTATTGATGCTTGGTTGAGGTACTGTTTAGTACAGAGTCATATTGCAGAAATAGATGGGGCCACATGAAACAAATGTACAACAATAACAAAAGCATGGCAGGAACAGCTGAGACCTCAATTTTCTCTACTTTTAAATAGTCTGTGGAACTCCAGCAGAAGGAGTGTGAGTTCTCTGAAAGCAGTCAAGGCAAAAACATGGCAGGAAAGATGGTGCAAATCTTGTCAAAGCAAGATGAAGCTACCGTAATTGTTGCCATGCTTCATAATGGGGAAAGAAGGAAAATCCACAATTTTGACTTTTCTGTTGTAACTGGATTAATGGGATTTGGGGAGGGGGAGTCAAGAAGTGATAAAATTGGTATACCCCTTAAACTTCCCAATATTGGAGGCCTCTAGATGCTAGGGGGCCATTGGGAGCTCCAGGACACTCTTTTAGTAACTCTGATTTAGACAGAGGTTGTTCTCTTTCCACTGAACCAACAATCTGTGCCTCAGCAATTATGTCCAGGTTTTCACTTGTCTGTTAATAAAGCAATCCTACCCATGTCTGTTCTGAAACTGTATTGGATCTCGCTTCCAAATCAGGAGGTGTAGGACGGTAGTCAGAAAATGCTAACTCTCCTGGGCACATATTTTGAGCCCCAAATGTTTGTTTTATAAATGCTAAAATTGTGAAAAATCTGCTCTAAAATGAAAATGCATGATACTGCTCCTTCATTTCTGGAATTTTATGAGAATGTGAATGAGCCTTAAGGTAATCCTTCCTGAAGGAAGCACCATGCAAAGTGTATTTGCCTCAGTTTAAAAATTATGATCTACTAAGCTAGGACCAGAATTATTTATTAACCTGACACACTACCTTTTCCTGGAAAAAGCTAACTCTGCCTCATCTAGAGGCAAACAGCTTGCTGAAAAGTGCTACCGTTTTTAACATTATAGTGCAAACTGTTGGAAACAGAATTGCCTTAACAATGCATTTTTAAGATGCGTTAATCTAGGCCATATGAAACAGATGTACAGCAATAACAAGAGCACGGCAGGAACAGCTGAGACCTCAATTTTCTCTACATTTAAATAGTCCATGGAACTCCAGCAGAAGGTATGTGAGTTCTCTAAAAGCAGTCAAGGCAAAAAGGTGGCAGGAAAGATGGTGCAAGTCTTGTCAAAGCAAGAGGAAGCTACCTTAACTGTTGCCATGCTTCATAATGGGGAAAGAAGCAAAATCCACAACTGTGCCTTTTCTGTTGTAACTGGATTAATGAGATTTCTGCATTTGCAGTAGAACAAGGGATCTGCTCTCAGAGGGAGCACCAAGACCTTCCATAAATCATGACACTAGGAATAGAAATAGGTGAGTTTCCAATTTTTTCCCCCCATTTACAGTTCTCTAAAAATGCAGACCTGGGAAGTAGCTGCCCCAGAATCTTTCTTCACTTGCAATGATTCCATTCTTCAGTCAGCAGGAATGGAATGGAATGGAATGGTATAAATGTCATGCTTAGGTCATGCTCATGAGACTACAGTACTGTATATTACTGTTTCTTCTGTAATGGTAAGGTAAGAAATCAGGGTTACAGTTCAAATTATTAGAGACATAAAATGAAAGTTTTATACACCATTTGATTGAAGAAGTATTGGTGATGTGTCATGATAGTCTTAATGTTTGTATTTGTGAAAAGTAAATTATTACACTAAGAGTGGACAAGTCATACCTGCACAGTATGCCCCTTGTGAGATGTGCAGCAGGTTCTCTTAACTCCTTTTTTAATATAATTTTAATTAAAAAAAAAAGAATTTACACAGAATTAAAGAACTACAAGAACTTAGAAAAAAGTAGACAAAAGAAAAAGGTAGAAAAGATCAAAAGAAAAAAAAACATGGCCACCCATCTCACAAAAAGTAACTCTGCGTGGTGTATAACAAGCCAATAAGACAATAAATATATAAAACAAACATTGCCTAGAAAACATTCCATAATGATTATTAAAAAGCATTAAAAACCATAAAAGCAGAACTAAAGCAGAAAAAAAAAAGATAGATGGAGGGATGTTAATAATACTGGAGCCACCTCACTAATTCACCCTTTCCCAGGCCTTCTAGCATAGCCAAATCTTAAGGGACCTTCAAAAGCTCAGAAGTGATGAGGTCAACCTCTACTCTGGGGGAAGAAGATTCCACAATGTGGGTGCCACAGCAGAAAAGCCCCACTGCCTAAGTCCTGCCAAATGTAGCTCCCTAGATGACAGAACCTGTAACATTCCCACTCTGCTGGATCTAGTAGAATGGGTTGTCCCTCAAATAACCCAGTCCCATGGCATGAAGGACTTTAAGGTCAACACCAGCACCTTGAATTGGACTTGGAAACAGACTGGTAACCAATGCAGCTCTTGAAGCAGAGGTGTTACATATGTTCTGCCAGAAACACACATAACTGTGTGTTTATACAAGTAATCGTTGTTCCTTCCTTAATCAGACAAATCAATGTAGCCATTTCAGCAAGTTCTACCAACTTCACAGTCCACTCCTCCATTGTGGGTATTTCTGTATTTTTTCCATCTTTAGATTCTCTTAACTCCCTAGATGCTCTCTCAGACCACTACATCTATATTTCAAGTGGCCTGCCAATCGGTATTCCTTGGTAACTTATGCTGCATTCTCTGTCTCTGTCTCTGTCTCTGTCTCTGTCTCTGTCTCTGTCTCTGTCTGTCTCTGTCTCCCTCTCTCTCTCTCTCTCTCTCT